AGGAATTGGCTTCCTTCCACCCTCAGATACAAATAGATGATAAAGAAAGAAAGTATAAAGATTTTCTATGTAATAAAGAGTAAAAGTAGATTGAACTTGACATTCCCATAATAACTAGGAAAAAAAAGAGCTAATGTCATACATAGAAAAAATATTCCTTAGAGTTCAGGACAAAAATAACAAGTGTGTTCCCAGACTAACCTTGTAACTTTAAGGCAGGCACTCACTCTAGCTGAAGATGCTTCAAAGTAACCAGTCACAGGGGCCCTGTATTCTGCAGATGCCCAGCTCCCTGAAGTTGTCTTAAGCATTTGTGTTTGAAAAGGGAAGCTAGATTCAGCGTGGTCTCCTGAGCTGGATTCCAGGCAGGGGAATGGATAGTATGAAAATGATACCATCTGACTGGAGTGTGTAGTGTATTTCAGTTATGTCCCAATAATAATTTCTTGGCTTTGCCAAGTGTACCTTGTTTTATATGTACCATATAAAATGTCAGCAGTTAGAGAATATGAACCAGAAACAATGGAAATTTCACATTTTCTAACTTTTCTCCAAAATTAAAATTATTTGAAAATAAAAGGTCTATTAAAAAGTGGGAGGGAGACCTAAGCGTGTACCTGTGAACACAGGCAGCAAAACCAAGCTGCATCGATACTCCACTGAGAACAGAGAGGAACACACAAGCATCATTTCACAACAACCCCTGCATGCAGGAGGAAGCAGGGACAGGCAGAGGGGCAGGAGAGGACTCCATGTGCTGGTTATAGGCCATTGCCTGACCTGGAGTTGTGGTTGCAGCTTCACTTCCAGAACGTTCTGCCTTAAGTCAGATAAAGGAAGCTCTGAATTGACTTATTTCTGCCTCACCTGCATCTCAAATGTTCTCAGTTTAAAATAATTTTCTTACCAATTCAGTGATTCCCACTAGGTCCCTATATTTGCATCCTCTTTCATTTTGTTAGGGCCTTAGGGTAGACAGAATAATGGCCTTCCAGATATGTCCTTGCTTTAATCTGTAGAAAATATGTTAGACCACAGGGAAAAGGAGAATTAAGGTTATAGGTGAAAGTACGGCTACCATCAAATGTCTTCAAAAATGTTAATTAGAATTGGAAGAGGGCCACAGAGATTATCAGAGAGATATGATAATATAATCAGGGTCAGAGAGGCACTCTGTTCCCGCTTTCACAGGTGGAGCCAAGGAAGGAAGGTGGCCTCTACAAGCTTGAAAGAGTTCCAGAGTAAAGCAGACATTTGGACATGTTTTATGTAGTTCAGCAGATAAATCCATGTTGGACTTCTGACCTATGCATATGTAAGGTGATAAATTTACATTAAGTCAGTAAGGTAGTGGTAATTTGTACAGCAGTAATAAAACATTATTATAGATGTGTTCCAACATTCATTATTTTCTCTAATCTGTTATTTGGTAATTCACACCTCTGTACTGCAAAACACACCAGGTTTTCTCTGCTTTCAGGGCACAATAGTCAACACAGACTTCAGTGACTTTAAAAAGAGGTTTCTCCCCTCTAGGAAGAAGCAAGCAAAGAACTATGTACCAGACATCTTCTGGCTGTCCTTTAATCCAATTCAACTCTGACACTATGTGGCTAGAACTAATACCACTCAGGTCCCACAGCCTGAGGGGCCAGTTCCCAAGTGCAACATGACTTCTGATTTATTTGCAAGTCCAGACCTCTGGAACTTCTGACTGACCCACTGACCAAACATCAGGTTCTTGGGAACCGGTTCTCAGGTTCCGGCAATTTTCTAGAGTAACTCACAGAATGCAGGGAGACAAATTCACCTGTTTACTTTAAACTTTATTTTAAAGGATAAAAACAATCAGCCAAGTGAAGATAATGAGGGAAGATGGGTAAAAATCTAGAAGGGCCCTGAGCACTGAGGCTTCTGTCCCCTTGGAGCTGGGGTGCACCTCACCTCACAGGACACGGCTGGATTGTTGTTCACCATTCTGCAGGCCTTCACATGCATAGACGTTCTCTGGGCCCTGTCTGTTTAGATATTCAGGAGACCTCCTTACCTGAGTATGATGGAACTATGGACAAGGTGATTGGGCAAAAAGATGGTTTGAGAACCGCTGACTTGACAGAGAAACCCAGCAAGACCATCTGCTCAGATCCCTCAACATGTCGTCTTTGAGGCAATGTGGCAAGACTGGATCTGAAGCATTTACTGCATACTTCCAGATAATGAGCTGTAGCTGCTTCTAAAAATGGCTTGCTAAGTAAGTGTTACGGGGTTTTGGGTTGCTCACCTCTTCGTCTGGAGTTGGATTCCTGGTTCTTGTCTCAAGCAAAGAATTGAATAAAAGGTGCAGTAGGCAGTGGCAAAGATTACTTGAAAAAGTAAAAGTGAAAACTGAGGGAGAAACCACTCTGCAGAATGAGCTTGGAAGAAGTAAAAGAAGAAAAAGCAATAAAAGGACACCCTGGCAAAAGCAGGGCAGGCTACCACAAGGAAAGCTACGACAGAGACCTTGTCTTGGCATTTGTGTCCTTTTACATTGTTCAGATCTGGAGGAACCCACAAGAACTTCCACATAAAGGTCCTGAAAGGCCACTGGGTACACAAATTAGTGGACTTCTGCAGAGTGTCTGGAGTGTATCTATACCTACTCAAACCACATGGCATGAAGCCATTTGCAAGCAGCAATTCTGGGTACACTTACACACAACACACACACACACACACACACACACACACACACACACACGGGCACACACACTCGGTCTCAGGAGTGAATACAGCCTGCAGCAAACAACATACCTCACTCTGGATAGTGAGAAAGACATGGCTTGGCTACCAATCAGTTTGGGAGGTTAGAGGGAAATTACCCCAGGCTAAAACTGTGACCTGACCCCAACCCAAACTTTGCACCTCATGAAATTCAACCGTTAGAAGAACCAGTAAGACACTTCTCCAATCTAAGCACCCTAGGTAGGAGGAATTTTTCAAACTTAAGTTTTCCTATCTCCCTTTTTCAGCATATTTAGCCAGCAAGGAAATGCACATAAAACTACACTGCAATGTCATTTCTAGTCAGAATGGGTATCATCAAGAAAACAAAAGTTATAAATACTGGGGAGGTTGAGGGGACAAAGGAACCATTAGATACTGCTACTGGAAATATAAACTAACAAAGCCATTATAGAAATCAGTATGGCGGTTCCACAAAAAAACTAAAAATGGAACTACCATATGATCAGCTATACAACGTGGTTTATTCCTTTTGAATGAATCTAAAGCAGCATATCATAGAGACAATTGCATCACCATGCTAATCACACACTATCCACAAGAGCCAAGTTACAGATTCAGTCAAGACCACTGCCAGCAGATAAATGGTTGAAGAAAATGTGGCATATACACACAGTGGAGTTTTACTCAGCCACAGAGAAAGATGACATTGTCTGTTGGAAATGGACAGAAATGGAGATCACCATGTTGCGCAAAATAAGGCAGACTCAGAAAGACAAATATTTTATGATTTCTCTCAGATGTAGAAACTTGGAAAAAAGACATAAAATTAGAAGGGAAACTATTAGAAAAGACGAATGGGGTCAGGTAGAGGAAAGAGCAGAGGGTAAAAGGTGACGGGGTATGATTGAAGTATTCTGTATGAATGTATGAGAATGTTATAAAAATGTTATTCTGCATAATATACACTGAGGATGTGGATCACTTCAAACATGGGTGCACATCCTCATACATCTGGAGGAAACAGTTATGCTTTTTATTACTGTTGCCTGAAGTTGAATATATATATGAGGAAAAGAGCCATAGTTCTTGACTTACTGAAAAACCTTGACATTTGGTATATAATTCCTCTATAAGAGTTTTATAGAAAACTAAGAATATGATCATTACTCAGTTACTCAATATATACTTGTCAAATAGCCAGTTCCTGCAAGACACTGAGTCCACAGTAGTCAGGAGCGTAAAAGAAAAGCAAAGCAAATGCAAAAGGCAATTATGCTAAACCAAGTTTTTTTTTTTTTAATCTCTGTTCCAATAGAGAAACCATAAATCCTTGGTCAAACTGCAACAAAAACTATGGATGACATTTTAAAGAGTCTGCACCATGGGGGAGGCAAGTTAAACTTTGATGAATTTCAAGAGTATCTCAAAGTGTAGGAATCACACTTCCTGGGTCCCCAGAAAGTCCCCCCTTCTAGAGATAAATTCTTGGTGAAAAGGGTGTTTCTGGCAAATATTCATTTCTATGAATATTCAATATTCATAGAAAGGCACTTGATGTTTCTCAATGTCAGGTATCTTTCTAGAACATGCTGTGAGATCAAGATTGGCCCCATTCAACACTTTCTCCCGTTTTTCCTGCATTTTGATGTCTCTGTGTTTGGTTTGGGCCATGTGCAGGATGAATCCATCTGTATCCTCTCAGTAACTGCATACTGATGTAGAGGCTGCACCAATGTTCAACAAGTCTGACCAGTGCAGAGACCAACAACTGACTGAACATGAACTTCAGAAGATAAGAGACCATTCAGAAAAGAGAAGGTCGGTCTGGTCTTATAGAGAACGACGGGATCCAACACCCATGATGTGTTGTGGGCTACAGTAAGCGGTGGGATATTACAAATCTCTCTCTCTCTCCCCTCCTCCCTTCCCTCCCTCCTCTCCCCTCTCCTTATGTACTAGTACCAATTGCTCAAAACGCTTATATATATGAATATATATTCATACTACTTTATTTATACTCATAAGTAAAGCAAAATGAATATGAAACAGTCAAAGTAAAGAGTAATGTAAAACTAACATGCAAATACTGGATTATGATGAAGGTAAAAAGTGTATTCCATAAATACACATATGCACAGAGACTGAGCTACAATTTTAGCTTAGTTGGCACTAGATTGCTAGTAGTCAGCTTGAAATAGAAGCTTAATTAGTTGCCTACATGGTATGATAGCAAGTAAACATAAAGATAACAATAACAAAAACAAACCATCGGATATTTAAAATATATCAAGTGTTTTTTTAATGTGGGGGTAATTTATAGTAAATTAAAGGGGAATTTAAGGATGTTTCCTAAGAAACAATAATTTTAGGTAAGCAATGGTGAGGAAGATGATCATCATACAAGCCAAAGCTACATGATTCTTCCACAAGCCCCAAGGTGAGAGATCAGTGTCATAGGTGGTCAAGTATTCATCACCATAGCATCTGAAATGCAACACAGAAAGAACACAACTTCATTTCTAGGATCAGTCAGACATTACCCAGTATATTCACTGTTTCTTTGTTAAAGAAATCTACATGTTAAAAAATTGTTAGTAGTAGTTTATCTCTTCACATATAATAGCTAATAATCATTGGCTGCTTACAATATTGTTACAAATTTCATACTCAACAACTTGTACTTCATAGTTTATTTAATCCATAAAACAATCCAAGAGGTACAGATACTTGCACAGTTAAAGGAGGAGGGAAACCAGGTTGAAATAACTCGGCTAAGTGTGCAGAGTCACACTATGAGCCAAATTTTTAGTTTCTTAAGATTCATTTATTTCAAGTGTATAATGCTGCTCTCTTCAAAGGAAATATTATCCAGTAACTTTTTATTTTCTTTTGATGGAGAAATTCTAGGTTTTAATCAACAACACCTGCGGCCCTTGCTAAGCTGATCAAGCTCTTTATAGTTCTGCTCACCAAGACAGCATTCCACAACATAGGCTAAAAATTCCAAAAGTAGGACCAGTGGGGAGCAAGGGCTTCAAGCCAGAGCCATGTCCCATCAGAGCTGGCACTAAGACGGCCAAGCACTGTAGATTCTCAGCTGTAGGACTTTCCCCACAGACCTGAGGTTGTTGCTGGAGCAGATGGAGGATCCTGGAGCGGGTTAGAAAAGCAGCTGGTACTAAAAACACCTGGTGCAACCACAGTTACTGCCTGCTACCATTTCTCGTTCTCTCTTAGGATTCAGCAGTTCCACCAACACCAGCGGCCTCTCTTTACAGCAAGAGCAGCTCCCTCCTTTCCTTGGAGGATGAGCTTTAAAGGAGTGTGAAGCCCATGGTAGTTCCTCATCTGGTCCCACTTTTCCTGTCCACGTTCCCTGGCCATTAGGCTGGCAGTCACTTTGTGCTAGACACCACGCCCAGGTCAAACAAAAAATGAATGGGTAAATAATCTCTACATAGAGGTTTTTCCTGACAAATAATAAAACATAAAAATATATTACTAAAAGTTACTTCTACATATTTGAACATTCCAAAGAAATTTAGGATTCCATCATATTAACAATCATAGAAAAAGAAAATATTAAAACTTCAAAATAAGATCCTCTAAAGTGAGCATTTCTCTTTTGAAGCTATTATGCAAAAATGACATTCCAAAAATTTAGTAAAATGTATTTCATTCATTGTAGGATACATCCTCTCATAGGGGGTGTTCTGAGTCAATTTATACACATACAAACCACCTCTTATTTCATGATTTTACCAAATGCATGAGGTGGAGGGAAAGCCAAGATCCTAGGGGATAGGTGGAGAGCAACATTCACTCCCTTCGTGGTATAGCTGCTCTTTCAGTCATTACTACTTTACATAGGCTAGGCCCTGAGGTATCACATAATCCATTCAGTTCAGAGGTCATATGACTAACCTATTAAAGCAACCCATTGCAAACTCAAATGTTATACAGTGTAAGAACTCAAACCCACAAACCAAATATTAGAAGGCCCCAAATAGTCCTCAACATTAAATATAATTTGGACTGTGGTAGAATACAGGAGTTCTACAGCATGTTCACATGCATTAGTGTAAAACGACTCAAATTAGGAAACAGGGACATAGATCTTTTGCAAATGGGAAAGGGATCGAGGTAGAGGGAAGGGAGAAGGGAAAGTGGATGTAAAAAGAATTAAGATGTGCTTTGTACATATACCAACTCACTGTGATGAATGTAGTCATTATGTACTGCAAACATGTACTAATCAAAGTAAAAATTTGATAAAGATATAGAAATAGGTCCATAAAGGTTGTTGCTCTGAAAGGACTCATACTAGCTCTAAGCCAGGGCCGTTCCACAACACACCACAGCAGGTCCAGACGTGCTAGGACACTGAGTGCAGACTTACATGATATAGTTGAGACAGCTGCTGCTTTCTGTGGCATTGAGTCCTGCACAATAGATTTGTCCCAGAAACTCATTGTGCTGCAAAGCCTGTAACACAAGCAAAAGCAGAGCAAGGTAAACACTGGTTTTAAATTTCAAAAAATTTACCAAGAATTATCAGAATAACACCCATTAGCTGAATCCTTATTTTTAAAAATGTATCAATTTTCACATTCACAGTCCTTGTCAAGGCAAAGGAATTGAAGTTATTCACTTCCTGGCAGTGAAGAGCACTAAGTATGATACATCACTTCAAACTGCTCAAGAGAGGACCCTTCTGTCTGTACTACCCAGTGTCTTTCTTCTTCCCCTGATTTTATAACCCCATGTACACTGTGCAAAACGGTACAGTGATGCTCAATGAATATTGTTGATTTTTGGCAACAACCTTCTTTCTAGTTTTCACCAAAACTGGTTGTAATTACAGGAGTTAAAAATCTCACTTACTATATTAAGGAAGACAAGGTTTCTTTGGAGCTGACTGGCTTACTAAAGTCAGTATGGCTATGACTCTGATATGCTTTATGGTTTTTGCTTTTCTTCTATTTTTCCTTTTGATACAAACTATGTGTTCTAGCCTCTACCCTCTCTTATTTCCTTACTTAGTGAAACACAATATCTTGTCCATCAATTAGTCAGTGATTCCCTTTTACTCTGTGATTACCGGCCCTTCATTTCCCTTAAACAACTCGGGGGTCAAGGAAACCCAGATGATACCCTAACCTTGTGCTGAACACGCTTAGTAGGAAATTGTCATCTACTGCTCATAAAATAAAATTATGAAGCAGTCAATCACAGCTAATGGCCAGAGAAAAGAGACAGCCTGAGTTTGTGTTGATGGTGCCCAGCGTGGTCACCCGTAAGAACCACAGACAAGGACAACTTACCATGAAGCCATAATGAGGAATGCTGAGGTACTGAAGCCACAAGAGCTGCGGTGCCATGGTTTCAAAGTACAGTGACATCGCCAAAAAAATCTTTAAAAAAAAACCCAAACCCATATGTCAGAACTGGTCCAGTGATTCTGAGAAATTCTCACAAGCTCTTCTTCAAGAATTTCACAACCTTCTAAATATTTCTGCTAGGACCAACTTTTGCAACTTCTTTCCACTACTCTACTTACTTACCTTCCTCCTCTGCATGAGGATACTTATGCGTAACTAAGGCTGCTTACAGTTTTAAAAGATGTACAATACATTTTAAACTGTATTTCCATTTATTTGGGAGAGTCTTAATTATCACGGCTAAGCCCTCAGCATTCTCCGTCACTGCACACAACAGAAACGTAAGTACAGTCATCCCTCAGTATGTGAGACAGACTGATTCCAGGACTGCTCCCTCCCCTAGGAAGGAAATCTAGAGATGCCTAAGTCTCTTATTTTTAATCAGGCATAGTATTTGCATGTAACTCACATATAGCCTTTCTTTATGCTTTAAATATACACATCCTCTGTATTTCAAATTATCTCTATATCTCTTATGATACCTTAAACAATATAAATGGTATGTAAACAGTTTATACTGTATAATATAGGGAATGATTACAAGAAAAAGTTGCACCTTCAGTGCAGATACAATATTTACTTCATATAGTTTTGATCCATGGTTGTTTGAATCTTTGAATACAGAACCCATGGACATAAAGTTATGAGATGCAAAATGGGATTAAGTTTCATAAACTATTTTGTAAACTATAATGAGCTAATGGTATGAGTCATATGGTCTGAAGGCCAATTGTACTATTCTGACACCAGTGCTATCTGTTTCCACTAACCACAAATCTAGAAACAAAAAAGAATGACCCTTTTTACTTTTTGTTTAAACAGGAACTTCAAAATGCATTATCAGAGTCCCATGTACAGAATCCCCGAAGCAGGTTTTACAGGACAGACGAATGTGCAAGAAGAAAGAAGGGGAAAAATTCCCGAGAGAAGCACAGTTTATACTCACCATCATAAAGAGAAAATAGATGTTCATGAGAAGGGTTGTTATGGACACCCCATTCTGACCCACTGCTATGGCCAGTGCCAAGGAACTGGCTGAGTAACGCACCATCATTAGCGTAAAAGTCATGGTAAGGAAAGCCTTCAGCTCTGGCTTTGATCCTTAGAAGGAAAAGAAGGGGTTAGTTCAGCTGTCTGGCTTATTGTGAATGTCTACTGTGCATATAACACAACAGTACCGCCATTGTGAGAAACCAGTATTAGAATAAAAAAAATTACCCACTATCCAACTATCCTGGCAAATCAATGTCATTGTCCCCTCCATGTAGTTGCATAGAGTTATCATGGAGTTTTCTCTTTCACATTCACTGCAAAAGCACTTTTCCACCCAGCACCTATGCTCTTGTGTGTGTGCTAATGAATCTGAGTCCCTGAGATGGAAAGCCCCAGGAAACACGACAGGCCAAAATTCTCCTACTTTCTCTCACAGGAAACTTGGCTACAACTGTTCCCTTACCCAGATCGCTATAGCACTGTTTGCTGAGATGGCACTAGTGGGAAGACTGGGGTAAGGATTCCATGACTCCTGGGGTTTCAGTGTCTGTGGGAGGGAAAAGGCCTCCATAACATAAGTCCTCTAGACAAAACATCACATAACTCTGAGATGCAAAATGGGACTAAGTTTCATAAACTACTTTGTAAACTATAATGAGCTAAGGTATGTAAACTATAATGAGCTAATCTTCATATGGTCTGAAGATTTTGGAAGAGCCACAAGACTATCAAATAGATGTTTAGGGGTCTGTATTACACGCTTGATTCTTTACGACCCATTTCTTATTTGGAAAATGGCAGGTTAAAGCACTATCAGTGTTTCTTATTGTGCGCTGTACTGACAAACATAGATAACTCTGGTATGTGTGTTTCCATGTATGTGTGCATGTGTGTATATCTATGTATGTATCATGAAATATATGGATATTCTGAGGCAATGAACCTGGGATGAAGCCTAAATATATAACACAAATGAATCCATCTACATTCTTCAAAGAAGTATTTTTATTTAATCAATAAACCTCAGAAGTCACCAGTTTTCCCTCATGCAAGAAAGGGACAGGTGTGGAATCTTCTTGGAGGTTCTGCTTTTTTGTCTGATGCTGGCTCTTTCTGAATACAAGAGTGGAACATTCTCTGATTTTCAGTCCTCTATCTCTCCACAGATATTAGAGATTTACAGACTGATTCATTTTATCTCTATACAGAGATATATGTGGACAGATACGGAGAATATAATATAGATAGGCAATGAATACCCTATCTCCTTTAGCATAGTCTCAAATAGTTTATAAATTTTTCAAATGTCTGTGTATGATACACAGTATCTCTCAGTACAATGCAGTTTTATAAGTCAGTTTAATAGGTCAATTGGGGTAAGGCTTTCAGAAAAATGCCCAAACTGGACAGCTACTTCAGAGAGTTCACAGTGGGTATGTGCTTCCCTAGTCACAGCTTGATTTATACTTTTGACAATAATGAACATGCCTGCAAAGAGAAACAGGTTTTACCTCATATCCAAGGTACAGATGCACTTCTTTGTTACCTACCTAGCATGAAGTAAGGAATACAAGTAAATAAAATACTTGGCAACAACCTCCTGGGTAGTAGTTCACATAATAGTTTCCCAAGGTAGTAGGATGATAGTCTGTAATATCCACTGATATACTCATGTCTACAGAAGAAAACACACATCATATATCTTACTTTTAAAAAGCAGAGATCAGGAGATGAGATGCTTCCTGTATAGACTTCTGTTACCACCAGGGACCTGACAAGATAGAGTCCCACATCACCCAGGCATACTCCCCATATCCTTTACCCTCACAAGTGCCAACCCTCCTTGCTGTGACCTCCCTCACTACACATCCCTCCTGCTGACAGTCACACTGACCCAGAAGCCCTTCCAGTACAGAGTCTGTGTCTCCTCCCTCTCCTCATGAACTCTGCTTCTCTTCTGATGCTGGCTCTCTCCAAAGAACGGCACTTCAGGGCTAACCTACATGGTCACGGGGATTTGTTTCTCTCCACTCTTGATTGTGAGGAAAGTGACATGGCTATTTTCCAAGGTCCCCAGTGTAGTTTCAAATTATTACACTCTTTTCACTTCTACCACTCTCATGGTAAAACAGAGAACACGTCTTTTTTCAATAATCACACCTCTAACAAACAACTCATCCACTAAAGCCTAACCTACATGTATAATCCCAAAGTTTTCCACCAGTATCCTTCCTCACTTCTTCCCTGTCCAGGAAGAAGTGACATGAGAATATGGCTAAACATCTTCCATCTTTGAAAAACACAAGGAACACAACCAGCCTACTCCTTACTGGAAAGCTGGCATCTGGTTCTGTCCACGTCCCCATCACTGAGGGATAATGTTGGTCATACCCTTTCTCAACTTTATTTCCTCTTCTCCAACTTGCTACTGAGCACAATACATGGTCTCTGAAGATTTGCAAGTTTTTCTTGGAGGGTCATCACGACTTGCTATTTGTCTAAAACATGAAATTATTTTCAGGCTCTTCCTTATTGATTTCTTGTAGCATTGGGATTTGCTGACCATATCTTAACTTTGAAATATCTTTCCCTTATTAGCAGGCCACATATGCTCGAGTTTTCACCCCACCTCTGCCAGCTTTTTCTCAATACTGATAGCTCTGACACATATTTCTAAAGCTCATGTTATGCACAAGTACATACAATTTACATGTGTAAATTAGACAAATAAATAAATAAAAAAGAAAAGACTCTAGTAAACAGTAAGAGATAGCTTCTTTGGTCCAAGTCTAGATGTACCCCAGAGTCACCGATGTTCCTTCTCAGAACAGTGAACCAGGTTTCACTGCTACTCAGGTTTGCAGTTAAGGCATGTGCGAGCTCAAACAACTGCCTAGGGACCTCAGTCCCAGAAGCCCCCATTCCACGACGTCATGGTTCACACCTGAGGCCCAGAAGAGACTGGTGTACTCCATCAACTGCCTGGGAACTTGGAACCCAGTGGCCCAGCCACCTGTCAATCTGCAAACATTGTGGCTCACAGCTGAGGCCCATACACCCTGAATCAACTGCCTGGGTACACTGGCCCCAGTGAGTCACATTCTACCATCATTGTGGTTCAAAGTAGAGGCCCACAAGAGCAGAGTCAACTGCCTGGGGATCCCAGGCCCAGTGGACCACCTCCCACCACCATGGTGGGGCAAGTCTGACACCCAGGAAAACTACAGACCCTAGAGACCTTTGGTGAGCTGCCCAGAAAGAGTGAGGCTTGGTGCTTTACCTCTGGCATCCAAAATGACAAAGCAAAGGAGCAAAATGTAATCTCAGAACTCCATCTCATCCAGAACAAATTCAGGAGACATTGACATAGAAGAATTTAAAAGTCACACATCTGAAGTCTCTCAAATGATTGCAACTGAAGTAAAGAAAAAACTCCATCAGGTCATAAAAGATATCAGATCAGAAATAATCTCTTAGGGAAAGAAATGAAATGACAACAGTAATGAAAGAATTGCTCAGCACATTTAAACAAGACATATGTAAAAAAATAGATGAGCAAAGGAAAATTATGGAAATGTTAAATGAACAATATAGGAAAGAACAAGAATGCATGATACAGATTCAACGAGATACCCAGGAAATAAAAATTTCCATTGAAAGCTAGAAAAACCACTTGAATGAAGCCAAGGATAGACTTTAGATCTTGAAAACAGCATTACAGCTAGTGATTGTGAAAAGAAAGATCTCTTAAAAATAACAAGGATCCAGGAAACATCAATTCAACAGCTGTAAGACGATGGAAAGAAAAATAATGTAAGACTTATAGGGGTCAACAAAACAGCAGGAGTCAACACAAATAACATAAAAAGAATATTTGCAGAAGTAACAGCAGAAAATTTCCCAAGCATGGGAAAAGAATCCAACATACAGGTAAGTGAGGCACATAGAACTGAACTAGCCATACCCAAAATAAAACTACACCCAGACATATAATAATCAAGATCCCAGAAATCCAGCAAAAGAACAGAATATTAAGAGCTATTAGAGAAAAGAAACAGATCACCTATAAAGGAAAGCCCTTCAGAATCACGGCAGACTTCTCAACACAAACCATCCAGTCAAGAAGTGCTTGGAGTAGAATATTTCAGGTTCTGAGACACAACAGCTTCTAACCAAGACTGATGTATTCTGCAAAACAATACTTCAAATGCAATGGAGATATAAAATATTTCCATGACAAGAACAACTGAAAAACTTTATAAGTGCCATAATAACTCTACAAAAAGTACTACAAGATATTCTAGAAAAAAGTAAAAATGACCATAATTTCAGGAACAACAATACAAAGGAACCACTTAGCACAGCAAGCAGAGAGAAAAGTAGGAAACCAACAGCAGGTAAATAACACGATAAAGATAAGCCAACACATACCAGTTATAACCATTAATGTAAATGGCCACAATTCACCAATAAAAGCAGACTGGCAGAGTGGATCAAGAAATGAAGTCCAACAATATGCTGTATACAAGAAATACGTTTAACTCAAAAGGAAATTCATAGATTGAAAGTCAAAGGACGTAAAACTATACTGCACATGACAGGAACCCAGAAAAAAGCAGGAGTAGCTATTCTGTTTGCAGACAATGCAAACTTCAAACCAAGAATGATCAAAAGAGATAAAGAAGGTCACTACATACTTGTCAGGGGAAAACTTTAAGAGAAACAGATAATAATCATAAATATGTATACCCTAAATATGGTAGCACCCAATGATATAAGACAAATTGTAATAGACATTAAAATGCAAATAACTAATAATACTATTGTAATGAGGGACCTTAACACCCCATTGACACAAAGACTTAGGTCAGCTGGACAAAAAATCAGCAAAGAAGTAACAGAATGGAACAAAAATTGTGAACAAATGGACTTAGTAGACATTTACAGTGTTCCATCCCACAACATCAGAATACACATTCTTCTCAGGTGCACATGGGATGTTCTCTAAAATAGACCATATGCTAGCACACAGTACATGCTTAAGTAAATGCAAAGGAACTGAAATTATCCCATGCATACTATCAGACCATAGTGAAATGAAATTGGAAATTAATGACAAAAGAAATCATAAAAACTCCATAAACACATGGAAATTAAATAACAGTCAATTGAACAACCAAGGGCACATGGATGAAATTAAAGAGAAATTAAGCAATATCTGCAAACAAACAAAAACATACATACAACTTACTGGAATCTGTGTGATGCAATGAAAGCAGTCCTCAGAGGGAAGATTATAGCAGTGAACTCACACATCAGGTAAAAAGAATGAGAACAAATAAATAGCCTACTGCTGCACCTCAAACTTTTAGAACAAGTCAAGCCAAAAGCCCAAAGAAGGGAGGAAATTGTAAAGATCAGGGCAGAAATTAATGCAATTGAGATGAAGGAAACACTACAAAGAATTAAAGAATCAAAGAGTTGGTTCTACGAAAGAAAAATAAAATTGGTAAGTGTTTAGCCAACCTTATCAAATTAAGGAAAGAAAAAACTCAAATTCACATAATAAGGAATGAAAAGGATGAAATCACTATGGATCCTACAGAAATTCAGAAGATCATCAATATCTACTTTGACAATCCTTACTTCTATACAATGAAAAACAATGAAGAAATGGACAGATTCCCAGATACATCCAAATTACCAAAGTTGAATCAAGAAGATATAAAAATCCTGAATAACCCAATATCAATTAATGAAATTGAAAACATGATTAAAAACCTACCAACAAAGCCCAGGTCCTGATGGATTCACAGCTGAATTTTCTAAGACATTCAGACAAGATTTATTGCCAACACTCCTCAATTTCCTTCTTCAAGGAAATTGTAAAGGTAGCAATTCTCCCTAGCTCATTTTGGGAGACAAGTATTGCCCTGATACCAAACCCAGAGAAAGACCCCCCAAAGAAAAGAACAACAGGCCAGTCTCCCTAATGAACATAGATGGAAAGATACTCAATAAAATATTAGCAATCAGAATGCAGCAAGCCATCAGGAAGATTATACACCATAACCAAGTGGGATTCATCCCAGGAATGCAGGGATAGTTCAATATATTCAAATAAATAAATGTAACACACTGTATCAACAGAGTCAAAGGCAAAAAACACATGATCATCTCAATAGATGCAGAAAAAGCTTTTGATAAAGTCCAACACTCATTCATGATAAAAACCCTATAGAAAATAGGAATAGATGATCTTTACCTCACTCTGATCAAAGCCCTCTATGACAAACCAAGAGCCAGCATCACACTAAATGGATAAAACTGAAAGCTTTCACTTTAAAATCAGGAACAAGACAAGGATGTCTACTGTCACCACTCCTGTTCAACATAGTTCTGGAAACATTAACCAGAGCAATTATGCAAGACAGAAAAATAAAAGGAATAAGGAGAGGAAAGGAAGAAGTGAAATTATCATTATTTGTAGATGACATGATACTCTACATGGAAGACCCCAAAAACTCCATGAAAAGTGTCACAGAATTAATCAACAAATTTAGTAGTGTAGCTGGATACAAAGTCAACCCTCAAAAATCAATAGCATTCCTATACACAAACAACAAACACACTGAGAGAGAAATTAAAGAAACCATACACAATAGCAACCAAAAAACTGAAATATTTAGGAATCAATCTAACAAAGTAAAAGACCTACATAGTGAAAATTACAGCACTCTGAAAAAACAGATCGAACAAGATTTCAGAAAATGGAAAGATATTCCTTGCTCATGGATAGTAAGAACCAACATTGTGAAAATGGTCCTACTCCCAAAATTATTGTACAGAGTCAATGCAATCCCAATCAAAATACCACTAGTGTAACTTACAGATATCGAAAAAACATTCCTAAAATTCATCTGGAACCAGAAGAGACCCAGAATAGCAAGAACAATCTTGGGCAACAACAACAAGTCAGTTGGCATCACAACTCCTGACTTGAAATTATACTACAAGGATACTATGATAAAACAACATGATATTGGTAAAAAAGTAGACCTGAGGATCAATGGAAGATGCAGTCATCACCACAAACATACTCATCCACCTTATCTTTGACAAAGGGGTGAAACAAGTTCACTGGAAGAAAGACAGGCTCTTCAACAAATCATGCTGGAAAAACTGCCTTGCCACATGCTGAAGACTAAAACTAGACCCACATCTATCACCATGCACCAAACTCAAAGCAAAATGGATCAAAGATCTAAATATTAAAACAGAAACACTAAATCTATTGCAACAGAAAGTAGGTAAAAATCTTGAAGGCAAAGGGGTATGCAGAGAGTGCATGGACAAAAGCCAAACTGCATGGAAAATAATTCAAAGAATCAACAACTGGGATCTCATCTTATTAAAAAGTTGTTGCACATCTAAAGAAATCACCAGCAGAGTAAAAAGAAAACCCACAAACTGGAAAAAATTTTAGCTGACTGTCCCTCAAAGGACTTCTGTCTACAACATATAAAGAATTTTTAAAAAATCAGTCCCCCCCAAATTCAAAGACCCAATCCAAAAATGGGCATCTGTGATTGTCTTAGTTACTTTTCTCTCATTGCTGAGACAAGATACCCAATG